TCTATCGTAGCATTAGAGCGCGGCACATTCAATTAGGAGCTGGATAGACGTTAACTCGATACGCATTGACAGGTGTTATGTTCGGAATGGCAATATCGATTATCAGAACCCGTGTATATATCAGAGTACAACGATATATCGGGCTCAGTCGGCGCTGATGCGCTGAAAATCATGACTCCTAATGCCGAATGAAACGCGCTGTCATTGTTCGACGGCCGAAAGCCCGAAAGCCCGACTGCAACGGCGGCAGGCAGGTGTAGGCAGGTGTAGGCAGGTAGGTAATATCATTATTGGGTGCCGATGACGGTTCGACGATTTACTTGATTAGATATTAGGCTGATGATTTGTACGAAGGTTTGGGGGGTAGTTTACTAATCATAAGTCATGGTCTACTGAAACTATTATCCAATTTGTGATCATTTTTAATCAATAATTTCTGCGGTTTATTTGATCACATTTGGGATTTCCCAAAGGAATCAAAATAGGGTAAGTTATTATAATGGGCCGAAAATCGAAATTGAAAAGTTTTACATTTCTCGACGTTTCGAAGGTTTCTGAATATTTTGGCATACATCAGAAAAAAATGGATGTGTGTGTATGTATGTATGCATGGATACAAATTTCCAGTCACGTTTTGATCGCACAGATCAACCGATTTGAATGATTTACAAAACATTCGATTCTTATTGATAGGGAGATGAGCTGATTGTTTTTAGCAAAGATAGGTCCAGCAGTTACGAAGATAAAGAACAAAGAGTGCAGAAAATAAAAATAGTTTTGGAGAGAACGGAGCATCCGATTTGAATGATCTAAAAAACATTTAATTAGTAATGATTGGGAGAATGTTTATTAGTTTTTGGCAAAGGCAGGCCCAACCATTTCGAAGATACGGAGCTGAATGTGTAAAAAATGGCAGTTTTTGAGAGAACTAAGCGTCCGATTTAAATGATTCAAAGGACTTTTTGCTTGTCTCAACAAAATAATTGATTTGGAATAAAATTTTTTTTGTTTCAATTTTTTTTCAATTTCTTTTTTTTTTAATTTTTTTGTTTATCGAAAAAAATCAGATTTTATTTTTAATTCTGACTATAGTTCTAATATACTTTAAACAAGTAATTTCAGCTTTGCAATTCAGTTTATATAATTCTTATAAATATTAGACAATGTTACAATATTAATAATAATCTATTTGAAAACATTCAGAATTCCTCTAACATTTTGTTATGACACGGGAAGTTCCAGCAATTTGCCTTAAGGCACGATGAAATACACCCACTAGTTCAGCATAGATTAAGACAGGAAGGTGAATTTTGGAACCGTGCTATAAAAAACTCGTATTTAACATACAATTCAGGCCAATTGTAGTGCGTTCTATTTAAATTTATATAGTGCTGTATGGGAACCGTGTTATGAGAGACTTATTTTTAGAGTTAGTACAAATGGCAGATGCTTTATGGAATCAAGAAATACAACTTGAAGTAGGAGTAATACGGACAAAATGACATGTATGACAGACACCTTATTCAAAAATAGGCCCAACAGCTATTATATAATCAGGCATGTCTAAAAGATAGAAGTCGATAACAAAACTTACATTACTTAATATCCTTTTGATATCAAATTCCTAGAATCCTAGAAACCTGCGCAAGAAACTTATGGGCTGTTGAATAAAACCGTGTAATAGGAAGTCCGTGTAGTCGGAGAGTTGTCGGATTTTTATCTCCGCGTAGTATGGGAACCGAGTACCCAAAATGCCGTGTTAACGGAGGGTTGACTGTATAATAAATTGGTTCAAAAAATACAAGAAATCTTAAGGATGGCCAACGTTTAACATATGAGATATATGTATTAGGTATGATTCTCATTTCATAAAAATCGGTCAAACTGTTTCGGAGTAAATAATAAAGTATTGTGTAAATAATTCTACGTAATTATTTTTTCAATTTTTGTTATTACGTAGATTTACATGTTCCCACATTTGAACCACATTTCTATTTATTATCATTAATGACATAAACAACTTGCTGTGTGCGCAGCAAAAAATTTCGCGGACGAGAGCACAGATTCGGGCGGAAACAAATAAATTAGTCGAATATACAACGACCGGGGAATAAATCCAAGACAATAAAAAAAACAAACATCTAATGCATAGCCAATCGTTGTTGCCTGCATAGAAACAATTGTACAAATTTTTTGCCTCACATTGAATTCATCCAGGCGAAAAGATATGATGTAAATCTTGACTCGAATTGGGAGAGAGGAATGGAAATGATACGGAAGTCCTTGGTCGTACTTTTTATAAAATAAAAGTAAAACAAAATGAACCAGTAATACTATGTAAAACACCACGATAATAAAAGCATTAATCGATTTTACTAATTTGCCACTACAAAAAAACGACTACAATTGCTTGTATTGTAACATTTAACATTTATGCTACTAATTAAATCAAAATTTAACCCTTATAATTTTCTATATTTTAAAGTACATATATTATATTTTAATGTGTATAACATTCTTGTTTTAAATGATAGCTTGATAAATAAATTATAAGTTCACAGACTCATTTATATCTGTGTGCCTATATCACAAATTTTCATAGAGTCCTTTATCCCCCTTAGAATTTACATTTACCTCGCGGAAATCCGAATGTATTAATTTCAGTTTCGATTTAAAATTTGATTATGTTCGCTTTATACAGATAAAATTTCAATGGGATTTGCAGGCGAACTGGCAATACATTATACTGTATCAGTAGTGAACCGAGATAGTTGGATATCTGTGATTATATTACCTAATAAATAAAAGCGCACCATTCTATACATCGCACTGTCGAAGATTTATTATCGTCAGATTTCCTAAGTTGAAATTGCACATGAGATGAGAGGAGACTGAGACTAGACATAGACCTAGACCTAGGTCGGTGAAATACCGTTGATTTATTGTAATTTAAATTGTAATTGTAAATGTTGGTGTAAATAGCATGGCATATGAATAAAATAACAAAAGAATAGAGATATATATTGTAGAGAGTGTAATTAGAGACAATAAACGATTAATCAGAAATGAGGCGTGTTAGAGACGAATAAAATTAACAAATTATGAATTTACGTAGGATATTTATAAGCTATACTTCTACCTAAAAATCTCAACTAATTGTACTAATGAGTAAAAACAAGTATGTGCTGAAGAAAACAGATTTCCATCAAATCTTCATTATTACTTACTTGAATTTAGCTTAATTAAAAGTAAATGATTCGTAGATAATTCAGTTTTTTTATCAATAAATCAATATGGAATATGAAATTTTTAATTTCAGAGCTCGGAGCTTTATTAGGAATTAGGAATGTTCAATAAATCCATTCCCCTGCATATGCGTCGCAGTTAATAATCGCTCGCAGTTCGAACTGATTAAGTTATGTCTAAATTGCCAATTCCAAATGATTAGTACTTCGCTACTGTATATATGTGATAGCGATTCAATTTAATTTAACAATCTTCGCTTTGAATAACATAGCTCGGTTCAATATTATAGCTATACTGTTAGTTTCTAATCCGAGACATCATTGATCTACCTCCAAGGTAGGATGTAAACTAATATAACGTCAGAGGGCACAGTATAAACAATACACTTTGGTGTTTAATACGTACCCTTGGTTATTGATTAAGAGCTTTTGTGAGATTGCATGTACAATATCAATGGATTGGCATACAGGAAAACATACAATAATTCATTTATTGATAAATTGGTAAGCGACTCGGTCGAAATGAGGTGACGCAGTATTATTTATTCATGTCTAATCGATAGATTAGACCGAGATTAACTGCACATGAATAATTATAATAGTCCGGCTGCTATAAATAATATTTGATTGATTGAACCGGGAAGGGATGGTTATATACTTGGAACGATTTGTGTAAATTCGACACGACAGACCGATTCACGCACGTAGATCATGCGATTCATAAAATAATATTAACATCAAATATATAATATTGTTATTCTTAAGTATTGTTTCCAATATCATGAATGTTTGATATTCCCATCACATCAACTCACGGCGACCCCATGCCCCCAGAGCAGCCCTCGCGCTCTGTTTCATACTGCTCTTGTTTTATGGTTTGGGGACCTTGTTACCATGACTTGACCCCTCGAAAAGCACTTGAAACTAGGCCAAGAAGACGACACAAGATCCGTCTCCAACAGTTAGAAAGTAACCATCGTTTTGAAAGGGTCAACTTTGTGCACTTATTAAATGAATTGACGTATAACGTGACACGGGTCGTAAAGGGTGCGAACTGTGCGGTGGAACTTTGGAAATAAAAATTGAATTATCTTTTTTGGACATGTCTTTACTAAAAACCACGAGAGAATGAGGCATTGTAAAAACACTTGAGTATAATTTTGTTTACATTTAAAATTACCAAAAAATATACAACTACCATTTCTGGCGAAACCGATTTTTCTTCGGAAAGTTAAATTCATGAGATATTTTGTTATAGGACAAAATATTGAGAAAAATGATATAGTTAACGGCGTATCATCTTACTTTTTAATATCCCTAATTATCACAGAAAATCAATATCTGCTGATAGAAAATATTTTGATAAAGGTCTCATTTGCATCTATTTTTATGATTACAATTGAAAATCTATCGTCAAAAGCATATCAAAATATTTGATACTATTGATCACAACGTTTCGATAGTTTGATCAAATCACAACTTTTAGTAGAAGGAAATCTTAAGCTTATTATTTAAACTTTAGTGTTTTTTTGCCAATGCCCCTCTGGCAGAAAGTGACCAAGCGCATTTGTTATGCAGATATGCTAATGTACAACGTCGGCTATTGAACGTATTTGATCGCTTAAGGTAGTTGCACGTGGACCTCTTAGATGCAAGAACTTAAGACATCATACCCATCATCCCCATCGTCGTCATGACTTGATATACATGGTTAGGAATATTGGAAATTTTGGAGGATTATAATGTATTAGGGCAAGTCTTCATGGCGCGCGATTCAAGTGGAGAATACAGATTAATGGACCGATGATGCCGTATAACAGACCAATGCTATGAAAAGGCTAAATTATATAGAATTTTTCAAATAAAATCGTTCTATTTTTTGTCAAAAGCCATGTGGTTGCTGTGAAATCAGACGTTTTTCTCAGGTTGTTAGGAAACATAACCCAG